AACAAACCAAAACCAAAACCAAAAATTATTGACTCTGACAGAACAAAAAAAACAGATTTTTCCAACTTGTTTTGCAAAAACGGCAAAGTAAGTTTTTATTTAATAAAAGGGAATCGACGGACACTTATCATTTAAAATAATAGTCCGAGAGGTAGCATTACAAATAAAAAAGTCATAGTAAGCCGGCTGATATTAAAGTTCGTGCAGACTTTGACAATAGGCTGTATTATTGTTCACAAAAAAAAACGGAACCCACTTTGAACATTTACCCAATTGACTTTTTAATAAATTTGTAGTTCAACAAAAACCTCATTAAATATTCCATTTAGGCAAAAGTTTCACAATTATTGCTTCAGGCTGTATTATTGTTCACAAAAAAAAAAACGGAACCCACTTTGAACATTTACTTAATTGACATTTTTAATAAATTTGTAGTTCAACAAAAACCTCATTAAATATTCCGTTTAGGCAAAAGTTTCACAATTATTGCTTCACCCTGTACAATTATTAATTAAACCATTGGATAGCATTATTTATAGTCTTTTCAGTGATGTATCACAAGAAGGGGTTTGCAATTTAAACTTTTTGAGTTTTGGAGGGTGGGGCCTAGGGGGTTGATGGGGGTGAGTTCTCTTTCATGTCACTTCAGTTTCCCCTTCTATCCTAGAAACCGTTTCAAGCATTTTTCGATATCAGCTTACGTTTGTGAGATATAGCCCATTGTAAGTTTTGAAATTGACACACTGTATACAAACTCCTGCAAACTGTTACAGTTCTGGTTTTTGGAAACTTTGCTTGTATTGGATTTATTCTACGACTTTGGCAGTTTTACCTTTGACTATTCAATTGTGTAGAAAAACATCTGTCTTTTTTGGAAATACCCCGCTAGTCTCAAAAAGTCTGTCGGAAATATTCGGACGTACAAGAAATTATAACCGATTACCATGCGCTAAATTTGAATTCGCTTTGTACAATTGATGTAAATTTAGGTGCCTGAGCCCGAATCTATCACTTCCCGCCTTCAATCCAATGTTCTGCCACCCAAATTCCCTAAATAAAACCTTTGTAATGGAGTGCTGCAAACACCAAGATTACTGCAACGCCGTTCTGATACCGACTCTTAGCCCTCCGACAGCGAAAGGTAAAAACACGGAATGGTTCTACTACCTACACACCTTTAGTAGCGGCGTTTGGTTCTCTCTGTTGTATCTTTTGTTGTACATATTATTTTTTCTCATCGCCTTTCCTCCACTTTTCTTTCTCGATGCACTCACTGCCTGTTTAACCATAATGCATTATTTACAATTTCAGCAGTAGCTCTTTTGGGTCGAGGTAGTCCCCTTTGCTGGTAGCTGCGAATTACTTACTCAAAACAAATTGGATAGACGGAAAATCCACGGCACAGTCATTATGAAGTGTTTGACAAAAATTAGTGGTAATGGACCATATCGGATGAGAATTTCATATGGATTGATATTTCTGAGCTGACTATTCTGTGTGTCAGTTGTCATGTTAATCGTTCACTTCGTTACTTCCACTAAGTATCAAGAAAATCAAATGGTAATTTAATAGAATGGAAGCAGCAAATAAACAATACAAACATCAACTATATAATACAGCTAACACGGGATAGCCAACTCGTAAAAAATATAAATGTTCCAAACAAATAAATTATCGATATGGTCGGTAAAGTACGGAAGTGCAAAAGGGCCACACATTTTTATTATTTGTATCTTGGAAATAACGACTTTGATTCTCAAAATTTCGACTTTTATCTCGAAATTTCGACTATAATCTGAAAATTTCGACTTTTATCTCGAAATTACGACTTCAAACTCGAAATTTCGAGATTAAAGTCGAAATTTCGAGATTGAAGTCGAAATTTCGAGATTGAAGTCGAAATTTCGAGTTTGAAGTCGTAATTTCGAGATTAAAGTCGTAATTT